TGGATCGCACCGTTAGTCTGGTACCCGTCCTATTGGCTATAGCCTGCACTCTATGCCAGTTATCGCCGTATAGTTCAGTGCAGTCGCAGTGGATGTATATGAGGTCCGGGCGATGGTTTTTGAGCACTGACACCATGGATATAAAATGAACAAACTCAATTTCATGAACACGAAACAATACATAGTGAACAATATTAGGCACAATATCTATGGGAAAGCCGGTGGTATTGTAGTCAACAGTCTGTTTCATGGAACTTGATACATTTGTTATATCGATATCAGTAGCAATAGTTGTAGTAGTTTCAACTGGACACAATATATTTGTCACATTCTTAGTGGTTTCTACTGGACACAATATTTTTGATAATTTTTTAGGCGTTTCTATTGGACACAACTTTTTAGTGAAATTCTTATAATCTGTTGAATAGTATATTAATTCAATGCATAGAAAACATATAAATATAACAATTATTATACAATAAACATTAGTTTGCTGATATTTAGACATTTGTGAATTTATTACTAATAAATGTTTATAATTATTGGCACAGATCTAGATATAACTAAATACTATTTAACTTAACTTTTTATTTTTATATTCAAACTTAAAATTTTTCATTTATAAAAATGTACAAAAAATTAAATGCCATTCTCATTAAAGTATAATTGACTGATAGAAATGAACCAGATCACCTGATTTATTAAATAATTAAATAATTGTCACAACTTTTACTGAATAATTTGCGAATACTCCAAACTTTTTGACATCTTATTTGATAACATAAATGCTGCTTGATGACTCAAATAATTGATGATAATGATGCTTACAAATAATTAAAGTATTTATTTAGGAATTAGTGCTGAACTCTATTATTATAAAAAGCACACTACCTAGTACATCACCTAAAATAGTGATTGATAAAAAGTTTGAAATAATATTGCACTTTTATAAAGTTAAATTAATTTTAATTGATTACTTAGAATTATCACATTGATCACATGTTTTAAGGGATTTACAACTTTTAAACATTTTAATATAGTAACTTACTTTAAAGTAATTATGAAAATTATGTTATACTGTACAATGCTAATTGTCTATTATTATTACAGTATGTAGCAAATATACTGTTTGTAGTGAATGTTTACAGAAATAATATAATATATATGATATGATACTTAAATTAAAACTTAAATAGTTCACTACAAAACTTTTATTATAATAAATCTATTTTAATATATAACGCATTCATTAATATTAATAATTTTAAAAAGTTACATTATAATTTTAAATATTCTGAATATAATACAACAATTGAGTGTTTTATCATAATATGATATGCAATCATTATTATGTAATATTTTTTATTTTTAAAAGGTTTTGTTCATATTGTAATACTTCACGACTCATATCACCAAATGTTGTGTTCAGTGTCCACACAATAGTCTCATTGAATACATAAACTTATGCAATCATTATTATGTAATATTTTTTATTTTTAAAAGGTTTTGTTCAAATTGTAATACTTCACGACTCATATCACCAAATGTTGTGTTCAGTGTCCACACAATAGTCTCATTGAATACATAAACCGGAGGTCTTTTGTCGTCTAAACACCAATTAATTGCTGACAACTCATTACCCCTTATAAGCAAATGTATTGAATAGTAACTACTGTTCCGCCAATTCTCGTCATACTCTGTGTAAAGCATTGGACAGACATTAGGTCTGACACCAAACTGTCCGTCCATTCTGTGTATGAGATGCGGCTGTTTGTTGATTATGTTGAGCACCGGACGTATGCCTATGTTTGTGTACCACTGGTTGGGGTCGTAATCAATAAACGACTCGTAAAATAGTCTCAAGAATCTGGAGTTTTTATGAGCTATTAATAGTAGAAAAACATTATTAATTTTAATTTGTGATCATATTTAAGAAAGTTACAGCTAGATATATTTATTACCTAATAAAATAATTAAGAATATGTTTATTACTAACTAGTTAGAATAAAAGTTTTGTATTTTAATATTTTTATTTAAATTATATTTTAACACCTAGTAAACTTTAATTGTTTTATACCGATTAGCACTTGACTTCCCAACTCGTTTTTACTTTGAAAATCAATAGTCATTTCGTATTTGAAAAACTCATTCAAAGACTTAATGACATATACATCTCGATCCAAATAAATGCCTCCAAACTCCCGGAGCACTTGAATCCGAGTCACGTCCGACGCGTGCCACAAAAGCCACCTTTCGCTCAGATTTCTACCAAACACTTGGGTCGGCATCTCTATGGGTCGCACCGTTAGCCTCGTGCCCGTCCAATTGGCTATAGCCTGCACTCTATGCCAGTTATCACCGCTGAGTTCAGTGCAGTCGCAGTGAATGTATATAAGGTCCGGGCGATGATTCTTGAGCACTGACACCATGGATATAAAATGAGCAAACTCAATTTCATGCATTTTAAATAATACATAGTGTACAATATTAGGCACTATATCTATGGGGAAACCGATGGTATTGTAGTGAACAGATTTTTCCTCTGAACAAAAAACATTTGTTAAATTTAAGGTCTTATGATTTGATGAATAGTATAACAATTGTATGCATAGAAAACATATAAATATTACACCAAATATACAATAATTTTGAATCTCATTATATTTAGACATTTATTTATATATTAAATCCTAAACATAATTCAAACATATTTAAAACAATTAAATGTTTTGTACACTATTTGCACTACTAAAAATAAATTATGGTATATATATCGTAGGTGATATTATATATCTTATCGATTACTTGTAAATTGATAATGTTAACATTTTTTCATTCAACTTTACTTCAAATTTTAATATAGAAATAGTGCAAACATAAAGTAAAACAGATAAACTACCATAGTAAAATACAGTTAATATATCGAAATATGATATAAAATATATTGTGTTTCCAATACTTATCAATATTATTGGCATAGATATGGATAAGTATTGTATCATATTTGATAATTGTAATGATTGCTATAGTACACCAATTTGAAAATTTAGAATGACATTGTAGTATTGTATAATATGATTGTTTTTTAACTATTTCATAAGGACTACAAATGAGAAAGCTATTTACAAATCTCTGTGCTGCAAACCAAAGGACACTTTCAACTCTGCTTACGCTATGACTATAAAGCATTTGAAGCAACTTTTATGCATTAGTTTGCTATGAGTGCACATTCTCTACGTTAGTTTTAGCTTACATTATGAATAGATATGAAAGCATACAATAGTACAATAGTATAACATTTGTAAAAGTATGTCAATTAAAAGTACACGGATATTTATGATTAAGAAATTTAATTTTTAAAAATAACTCATAACTATGTACGCCAATTATATCAACATATAGTTTAACTTTAAAAATAATATTTACGTTCAAGTTTTATAATTACAGTTTGTAAAAATAAATAAATGTTTATTTTTTAAATTTTATTATAGTTTTGCTGATAAGATATGGTATATTTATCCAAAACGTTATACACAAATCAAGGTTAATTGCTTACCATGATCAATTTAAAAAACATTAATTTAAAAAATTATCACATGATTACCTCGAATAAATAGAAATTCAAATAAAAATAAAATTAGTACAATATTTTGAAAGTTAACTTACAAATACGTTTATAAAATTAAACAAACTAATTACCTAGAGTATAATCTATTATTTTAACACATTTTGTTCAAATTGTAGGACATCCCGACACATATAACTGAATGTCGTGTCCACTGTCCACACAGTTGTCTCATTGTATGCGTTAAACGCCGGGGGTTTTGGATAACCCAAACACCAATCAATCATTCGTATAAACAAATGGATTGAATAATAACTACTGTTTCGCCAATTCTTGTCATATTTAGGGTAAAGCATATGACAGACATTAGGTCTGACCCCAAACTGCCCGTCCATTCTGTGTATGATATGCGGCTGTTTGTTGATAACGTTGAGCACCGGGCGTTCGCCGATATTAACGTACCATTTGGTGGGATCGTAGTCCCGAAACGTCTCGTAACACAATCGCAAAAATCTGGCGTTTTTATGGCCTAATGTCACATTAATATAAGATTTAATTTAAATCACCAAGTATCATTAAATTTTTAACACCTACCTATTAGCACTTGGCTTCCTAAAGTATTCTGACTCTCAAAATCAATAGTCATTTCGTATTTGAAAAACTCATTGAAAGGTTTAATGACATAAACATCTCGATCCAAATAAATACCCCCAAACTCCTGGAGCACCTGTAGTCGACTCACATCCGACGCGTGCCATAAACGCCAGCCTTCGCTCAGATTTTTGCCAAACACTTGGGTCGGTATCTCTATGGGTCGCACCGTTAGCCTCGTGCCCGTCCTATTGGCTATAGCCTGCACTCTATGCCAGTTATCGCCGTATAGTTCAGTGCAGTCGCAGTGAATGTATATGAGGTCCGGGCGATGATTCTTGAGCACCGACACCATGGATATAAAATGAGCAAACTCAAGTTCATGCACTTTAAACAGTATATAGTGGACAATATTGGGCACAATATCTATGGGAAAGCCTGTGATATTATAGTTGGCACTTAAAGTTTCCACTTTATAAATAGTTTTTGTAACATGATTGTGTCTTGATGAATGATATAACAACTGTAAGAATACTACACATATAATTACTACACCAAATATACAATATTTTCTAGTTTCATTGGATTGAGACATATTATTTAATAATGAAATTAAATATACTTTACAGCAATTAATGTATACAACTAATAAATATAAATCAGGTTTATTATTTCAGTAACATGTAGATATTTATAACATTTTATCAGTAAACAGTGCACTAAAATAATTATATTAGTATTATAATATAATGTGCAAAATTAGCTATATAGTGAACGCTATGTAATTGATAAGATTAAACCGATTACATGTAAAAATGTACCGCAGTGAAATATTTTATTTTTAACACAATGACATCAATAAAATGCGTTTCCAATAGTAATCATTACTAATCAAGATAAATGTCATAGATATGGATAGGTGCTAGCCAATTATAGTAATACCGGTTGTTTAGAAATTGTTGTACTCAAAACATAACTAATATGTTTATGTATTTTATATCTTATTTTGTTAACTCTGTGAAACATAAATATTTGTCACAATAACTGCATTTTATAAAAACAACATTATTGCAAACTTCACGTAAATTATCATTAAATTCAAATAAAATTTCATAAATATTTAATGAATTATAATTAGGAATGCAATAAAAATGGATAAAAAATGGGTTCTTATAACTGGGCTAAGTGTATCCCTATGATTCATAAAAAACACATACAGTAATTTAATCAGTTTTTGATTTTCAAAAATATTAATTCTTTATAATAATTTTATATGAATATTCGTTTATATAAATACTCATTTGATAAAATTGAATGACTATTTATTACAACTTTCTTTAAATTTGTTGATTACTCAAGAAATATTATTATTCTTAATATATATTCTCATCGATTAATAAAGGTTTGAGTGTTTTATCAATTGAATACTCATTTAAAATTATTATAAAGGATTAAAATATTGAAAATCAAAAACTGATTAAAATAGTGAATGTGTTTTTT